ACAGATGTAAGATTTACATTGCTTCATTCCGCTGGGGTATTATTTTCTTGATTTTAATTCTTGTTTTCTTGTACGAGTCGCCATCCCCAAGTCCGTATTGTCTGTTGTCGGTGATATTTAGCATGCAGCCGACATTTCTTGCATGTCTGGTCCGATTGCGATTTTGTCCGCTGAGGGGCCCGAACCCGCGCCACACAGCCAGAAGCATTGACCATTCGACCCACGCCACCAGGTCAGACCTGTAATACCTAGCGTATACAACTATTGTTTACAAAAACAAGAAGCAATATTTTGGATAGCTAATCGATTAGAAACATAAACAATTATTGTTGCCTTAATCGTGTTTCCGGCTGCTGGTCGTTTGCAACGCATCTTTCTTTTGCGACTCCCAATTGACGGTAATATTGAATCAATAACGTTTATTGTGAAGGCCCTGAAAGAACAAAGCACGGTTCCAAAATTATCACTCCAACAATGGGAGCCTTTAGCGATTCGATGTATATCAGGTCAGATATTTGAGCCAGCTTCCCTCTTCATTCAGTCATATCATACATTATGGGATTATAATTTACATATGAAACTATCGTTGAATGACAATACGCAATTTTATTATCCAGACAAGCAAGTGCCCACTCGCGAAAAGCTAATGCGTAATCCGCAATTTTGTATCAACATGGTTAAGCCGTGTATGTTTACATCATCATCATTTTCAGCATATCTGATTCATATAACTTTATTTGTGATATATATATTCATTCATACAATGAAAGTGTCTGCCTTTCACTGTTTGTAGCTTTACAAAAAATGAGTCAAATGAAAACACAAAGCATGCCCCGAATCACCGTAGTAGCTTGTTGTTTTGTTGATCAGTAAGTGCAAAACGTTTTGAAGAGCCATTGCGTAATTTTAGCATCGTTGTCGCATGTCGGATTTTGTGGACAAAACTTTTCTTTTAAGTTCATTTTCTCCCCTATTGTTCGTGTTGTTGATCTATACGATCGTCTTGAAGGCGTTAAGCCGCACGGATGGACTGATACATATCACTATAATATGGTATATTAGATAAAGGGCTGAACTCTAGCTTGTTTTGACAATTAACGACACATTCGATCGATCTTTTTGTAGTACAAAAGTTGTCAGCAAGTTGGACATGAGAGATTTTTGAGCTGTTTATTACAATGATGTATTGCATTACCCGACTATAAATAATTGCTGGATCGGAAGACACTTACTTATGACAGTCACGCATTCGCCGTAAAGTGAGGTACATGTATTGTTAACCGCATACAAAAAATCGGCATGGGAAAAGCATCTTTTATTCTGTGTCAATGTCACTATGGAATTGTGCACAGCCCTAGGTAGCAGAGCCCCAGATCAGAAAAGTTCTCGTTCCCAATAATGGAGAATTTTGTGCAGTAATACTGTTGTGCGATAATGACGCAAGAAATAGAATGTAATTACCTTGTACATAATCGCTTTTCACAACGCTAAGTACTGTATATATACCTTTATAGAAATTTGAGATATGATTGCATCATCAGCACGACGCCTTTTTCTCTTGGGCTATAGAAGAGAAGATGTATATAAAGATATGCCACGTCACCGTCGCCACATGAAAACTAAGGCGCTTATCTTTCTGTATCAACTAGTTTTTAAAAGAAAGTATATTTTTGGTTTGATGTAGTCAATATAGCAATAAAGAAGCTTTTGCTTCACTTGAATTATGAGTAATACTACATCACAAAGCTGGCGTCATGAATATCCGTCCAGCGTACTTAGCCCGCCCTTCGGATTTGGCAGAGCATTAGTATGGATTTTGTATGAATTTTATGCATATGCTTCAGGTAAAGTCGACGTTGCAATCCTGGTAGGCCATCTGCGAAAATGGGACATCTCGCTGCTGTTAGCAATACCGTCACTGATGAAGATACATCCAGCTGTTGATGTTAAAATCCTTTGCTATTTTTATGGCTTGCCGTTGGTTTTATTTTGGATCTAATTCCATGCAACACAGCGAAACTTTGGAAGTCTTTATTCGAGGTGCTCGGCGCCTCGTGCATTTCTTCTACTCTGGATCATTCACTGATCAATGGTCAAACAGAACGCACTAGTATTTTGGCAAAGAAATGTCTCCGAAGCACATGAGCAAAGCGATCATGTTATCGAGCGACTTGCCCCAGATTGGTGAATCATGCACTTGATTTGATGCCTCTACAAGCTTCACACCATTTTTCATGCTGTTCCGATTGATCACCATGTCCCTCTGACACCTCCGCTAAATGCTTTGAGTAGGAATACCGTTTAAGTTATTGATACAAGCACGGATATAAACCGAAGCAAAGTTGATTATTGTATTCCGAAGAGATTGAGTGTCATGCGCTAGCATCGCGGACAGCTAATATACAAAGCAACAGCGAGATAATAAAGGCAGTAAAAGCAGTTTAAACATATGTATTGACATCGATATGAGCATGCTTCATGGCAGGTAGCCCTTTGTCTCAAACCCGCACTAGCTTTTACGAAAATTTAAGTTGGTGTGCCTTAAGCGCAACAACTTCTTTAGGCAATTAAATTAGATGGAAGCAAAGCGAATTGGATAGTGGCCGTCATTGTCTGCACAGTTTATTATGCCAGAGTAACATATTATAATCTTTTTGGAATATTGGAACCATTTTTAAATGATCTTTGCGGAATCACCCGAAGCCAGGCTAATATGGATAATACCAAACTTGGAAATCGCATTAGAAAGTTTACGAACCCCAGCACAGTTTGCAAGTGCTCAACAGAAACGATTACATGTTATTTGTATTTACAAGAAAAAAAGCGAATGTATTAACGCTACATGTATGTGTGTATGCATACTGGGACCAAAAACGTATTCACTGACCATTGGCTGATGTAGCTGTCTCATCGGAAAGTCCACGGGTCGGTCTTTTTCAGAGCATTGCGCTCAGAATACTTTATGTAGTGAGAAAAATCAGTCATTCCCATCAGTGAATTGGTAATGCCTATCGGCTAAGGTGAGAGCGCTTTACACGGTACATTCTATCATGCTGCTTTAACGAGCTCGCAATGAAACTCTCATGCATGATGGATATCGACCGTAACTTCTCTTTCGGTGCTTTCTGTGCTCCCTCGGCAATTCTTCCGTCCTGCAATTTATTGCATATATACCGTAGAGATATAACTCAATTTCTGAAAGAAGTTATATCTGGGGTAAAAATGAGTTAAAAATATCCCATGACACTGCCCTAATCGATCTAATCAAGAGTGTGTTTCCTGCTTTGCTTTAGAATACAAACACTGTAATACTTTGTACGCCAATCACGTCACTCAGTGTTGCTGTTTCAGCTGTACCGTCAAAACCTGACATGGATGAGTCAATTTATACCTTAGGGAATCAGCTCAACTACTTGCATCTCTAATTTCGATTGAGATGTACGAACGGTCGAGCCACCACGCAGAACTGTTACCCCCTTCAGAAAAATGTTGGCTCCCAGTGGATGCGGAACATTCTTTTGAAAAGAGCAGACTCTTTCTGCATTTTGCAGCGGTCAGGATGAACGGTATCTAGCCTTAAATATGGCGACACAAAGCTATTGAAACACAAACGACCATAAGAGGCCATTAGATAAATCAAGTGCTAATAACATATGTGTCTCGCGACATGGAACAGCGTTAAGTGTCCCATTTTTGCCCAAAAAATAATTTGAATTACGTGGTAAAGTGTCATGAAATTGAAAGCGTGATAGTTGGATGCGAGACATCATATTATCGTAGACAAGGCCTGGCTGGAACGCTGCATGCGATGAAAGAATTGGAAGCCAAAAACGAGAGCCACGTCGTATACACAGATTTTTGATGAGTCATACACTTGCCTATACCAAATGGCAGACGAACTATTGACGTAAGCAAGAGTGACAGCCTTGCGAACTATTGACGTAAGCACGAGCAGTGACAGCCTTGCGAGACGTGGGATCGACTCAGATAGTTAATTATGACAGTGCTGAGAATTTAAGCAGAACTTGACAGGCAAGAGTGGCTATAAGCCGCACTCTGCGAACATTACCATTTTAAACTGAGAAATGCAGCTTGAGCTGGTCTTCAGTGATATACTTTTTCTGAGACAACAGTGAACATCACATAACGTGAACCACGAGAGATGCCACGGTTGAGACGGACCAAAGCGGCTTAATACTCAATGCCAATTCTTGTGGGAAAGGTAGTTAAGCTGATTCCGTAAGGTATAAATTGTGTAGCGGGGTTACACGTACCCTGGTAACAGGGGGTGTCCCACGAGATGGGCATGGTGAAACTGCACCCAAACAAGAATACGGTACGTGGCTGGATAGTCAGTAGTTATGCATTTATTAAGATTTTACTATGTATATAGGAGAATCTATACATTTAAAATTAGGCGGCTTTGCCGCAGATAAAATAAATAAAAGTCAGTTTTGGATTTTAAACGGAAGAGTTGATTAGCCTTAGGTTAAATTACTCTTGGATCAAGCAAATTGCGATCCGCTAAACCCGTACTTGTTGTAAGTATAGAACGAAAAGGTCGGTGCCTTAAATGACGCTTCAGCAAAGCGCAAAGCTACGGCAGCCCCGCTGCAAATTGACTTATCCATGTCAAATTTTGACGGTACATCTGAATCAGCAACACTGAGTGACGTGACTGCCGTACAAAGTATTAAAGTGTTACTATTTTAAAGCAAAGCATAAAACACACTCATGAATAGATCGATTAGGGCAGTGTCATGGATATTTTTAACCCATTTTTACCCCAGATATAACCTCTTTCAGAAATTGAGGTTATATCTTTACGGTATATATGCAATAAATTGCAGGACGGAAGAATTGCCGAGTGAGCACAGAAAGCACCGAAAGAGAAGTTACGGTCAATATCTATCATGCATGAGAGTTTCATTGCGGGCTCGTTAAAGCAGCATGATAGAACAAACCTTGTAAAGTGCTCGCACCTTAGCTGATAGGTATTACCAATTACAGATCGTAAGACTGATTCCCCTCACTACATAAAGTATTCTGAGCGCAATGCTCTGAAAAAGACCGACCCGTGGACTAGCTTATGCACCAGCAAGAGTCGACCGGCTGTTGATGATATCTTGGACATGATTTGTCTATCGTGCGTTGAAGCTTAAAAAAGATCTTAGAAACTATTCTGGGTGCCGCACCTTAAGGTATTACGAAGAGTGAATCAAGATGTTGTCGTAGACGATGTCTTTTTAAGGATTGGAGATTTACTCTAGGTCGCTTTTCGAGATACGCCTGAAATAAGGCTTTCCTGCCGTGTATATCCATAATCTTCATCGATTTACAAGCCCTCGCGCGGTCGATCTTCTAGCCAAACTATCAAAAGAACGCTATGGCACGGCTAAATATGCCAAGGTGGCGGTCTGAATTTCACAAAAGGGATTTTTTTGCGTAAGTGCAATGCAATCGCAGCGTTTTGCCTTTGTGAACTCAATAGGTATTACAGAATGGAGAGTGTGGCTGTCAGAATGATACGGTACAATATTAAGGATTGGAATAATCTCAAAGAGCGGATTCTTCCTGAAAACGGATTCTGTTCGTGATATCTGTCAATGCCGTTATGCATTAAGCACAAAAAAATCTGGTCCTAGTTACGACATCAAAATACTCAAAAATGAAAAATGTCTGGGTGCTGGTATCACGCAATGCATTGAGAGTATCAATATTATGATAGATGGTGAAACGTAGTATTTATTTTGACTGAGATATTTCACGCTATGTCTTTCGACTTTTAACTTAAGTGGTCCAAGTGCTTGTTGCTTTTTGGTTTCGCGTCTAAAGAATAGACTTTGGGCCGTAGTATGTGGACTTTGCTGCAGATAAAAATAAATAAAAAGCAGTTTTGAATTTAAACCAAAGAGATTATTAGCCTTAGTTAAGGAACTAACCACTCTAGGAGGTAGCAGATTGCGATCCGCCACACTTGTATTGGTTTTTGTAAACAACGAAAGATCGGTGACCTAAATTACGTTTTCTCAAGAGCAAAGCTACGGCAGCCCCGCTGCATCTTGTGTTTGTCCAACATACATCCAGTGGTGCAAATTTCCAACACTTTGCGCGATTTTCCTCGCCCTAGCGTTCAACGCCACTTGTCGAGCGTCAAATACAACCCCTTCGGACCTTGACCAAATTGCACTCCGTATTCACACTGCAGTGGCTTGGAGCGATGTCTATTCAAAGAAGGGAATATTGCCGTTCAGATATTTCGCACTTAGACGAGTGCTTATTAGTCGGTAAAATCAAACCATGACTGCGATCCTCCGCGCCACAGCATTGCTCCGCAGCCATCCTGCCAGATTTTTCTCCAAACATATCAATAAGAATCACATGCATTCTTCGTACCATACTGAGTCTGCCGCACGCACTCTTAAACTGCTGGAGCGTCGCAAAGTCACAACACTCGACATCGGTATCTTCAAACGCACAAAGAAACCAATTACAATGGTGACGGCATATGACTATCCATCGGCAGTACATGTGGATCTTGCCGGCTTTGACATCTTGTTGGTGGGAGACTCATTGGGGATGGTAGAGCTGGTACGTTGTGGGGGTAGAGGTCAGAAAGCGTTACTTTGATGCAAGGTAACGGATGATGCTGCTGTAAGGGCATGGATACGACTTTGCCGGTGACTCTAGAAGATATGATTCACCATACAAAAGCAGTCAAGCGGTGGGTAGAACACTCCAATTGGATCTTTATTGTGATCTGACGTGAATTTACTTAGTGGAGCTTCTCGTCCGCTGGTACTTTCAGACATGCCCTTTGGCACTTGCGAAGGGACGCCGTTCGAAGCGTTGAAAAATGCTCAGCGTCTCCTGAAGGAAATACTGAGAAATTAGCGGTGACGGAGATGCGGAATATACTGACGTGCTCCATATTGTTTCAACAGGAAGGAGGAGCAGATTGCGTGAAAATTGAAGGGGGAAGGGAGCGCACTGAAACGAGTACAAAATATTTTGGAGTACTTGCATAAACGAATATTAATCGACAATGTTGGGACTTAGTCAAGACAATTGTTGATGGGGGAATTGCTGTGATGGGTCATATCGGTCTTCGACCGCAACATATTAGCGTTTTGGGAGGGTTCCGTGCTCAGGGACGCACAGGTATGTTGCGCTATTTATTTAACCTTCTCACCGTGCAAACTTTGACTTTTCTCCTTAGCTGCTCAAGCTCGAACAATCATCGAAGACGCTTTGGCGGTGCAAAAGGCTGGAGCTTTTGCCGTTGTGCTTGAATGTATCCCATCAGCCGTAGCCAAGGTTGTAACGGAGCTACTGAAAATCCCGACGATTGGCATTGGCGCTGGTCCCGAGACTGATGGCCAAGTGCTAGTCTTTCATGATCTGCTTGGCATGCTCCAGCATCCTCATCATGCGCAGTTTGTTCCAAAATTCTGTAAGCGATACGCTGATGTTGGTGAACAAATTCGGATTGGCCTTGAAAATTATCGCGATGATGTGGAAAACGGTCGATTCTCGAGTGAAGCGTACTCTCCGTATAAGGTTAAGGGCTATTTAATTATGTTGCGTTTTTGTTTACATTGGGCCAATGCTATACCTGCTCTGATGTGCAACGATAGATGTCAAAAGAGGAAACCCAAAAATTGCACGATTTAGTGGCCAAGGATTACATCAAAATGGACGTTCATGAAAATGAAATGATAGACACTGAAGTCACGAAAGTTTATTAAGAGCTCTCGTTTAAGAATGCAAAGCTATCTGGGAAAGAAGTGATGTCGTCGCTGTCGTCGTCAGCCTTACATTCAGGATCAACAGAATCCGTTGAATCAAAATGTTTGTACGAAAAAGCCCGGCATTCTCCCGTTTCAGCACATTCGTAAAAGTAACAACCACCTTGAAAGCGTGGCTTCCAAGTCTGATGTTTATCCAATACGGCTATCACTGGTTTACTTCTTTTCAAGTTACTAACTGCATGTGCGTTACTTGTGCTCAAACTGACCAACTCCTTCGTCTCAAGTCGTTTCAGAGCCGTTTTGGGTTCTTTTTGATGCTGGAGAACCATTTTCTGCGCTTGTTTCCGCGTTAAAAAGATGAATTCCGGTACCTGATGCTTTGAGTCGGTCAAGTATGTCATGCGTGCCGCATACATCATAAATTGTGTCTGCCTCTGTTCTTCATTTCCGTCCGTCAAAAACGCTGCATGTGCCTTTTGTCCGAACTCCATTGGGAGATATTAACAGTGTACAATCGGTAAGGTAAATTTAGTCTATTTTTGTACAGATTGATATCTGATATAGACATATTAGTCGAGAATTGTCCTGCCCTTTTAAATTTCTATTTTCAAGCATTTGAAGCTCGTGAGATGCCTTCACACTAGCAAAGATCAGCTTTCACTTTAGCAATTACACAACTAATCGACTTTGAAGACGACTATCGTTGTACCTTCACATGATCAAAACAACAAGTTTCTCAATCGACAGGACTGAGTCAATGCTGATCGTGTCGTGAGCCGCTTACATCTCCACATCTTGACATTTACTGACAGGAAAAAAACCTTGCATATCGTTATCAATTGTAGCACCCTGTCTCAGCATATGCTTCTATGTCGTACTTAGTGTAGCATAGACTGTAATGCCTGGTTAACAGATAATACAAATGTGACGCCTGCTCATCAAGCTGCTCAACAAGCACTTCAAGATCTGCGGCGACGTTGAAAGAGCCATGAGTTTCATATCTATCACCCCCGATAACTTTCCTAAAAAAAGTGTGGGCGTCGCCATTGGAGAATTTGTTAGTTACTGAGACCTAAATTCCTTCCGCGATGTTTTGTGACTGACTTTTACGCTGGTTGTTCATACAGGTGTTGGACTTAGCTGCCATAGCGAATGAAGGCTATTTTCAGGGCTTTGATGCCAGCTGTTTTAATGAGTCTACGCTCAACAAGTTTATGGCTCAAGGCCCTCGAGCGTGGGCCTTGGCGCGCGCGACCGTGCAGCGCCTGCTATCTGCTAATGAGCCCAAGCTTCGAGACGATGAGGTGCTTTGGAAGCGTGCGTTGATCCCTGCTCAAAACGTTTGTATGCATTTGCCGGCCGAGGTGGGTGACTACACGGATTTCTTTTCGTCGCGCGAACATGCCACCAATGTTGGACGCATGTTTCGCGGAGAAGACAATGCACTCCAACCTTACTGGTACATAGACAAGCAAGCTACTGTCATTATTCATTTTTGCCAGTCTTGCGTGCATAATGCCTTAAAATCCTCGCAGGCTTCATTTACCCGTGGGCTACCACGGCCGCTCATTTTCAATTATTGTATCCGGCACCAATGTTCGTCGTCCGTGTGGTCAATTGCAGGCTGACAAGACAGACCCTTCTAAAGGATCTGTTTACGGTCCTTGTCGTGTGCTTGACTTCGAGCTTGAGATGGTAAAGACTTTGTATCCAGTCATTGTCACACTTTAAGCTCAGTTCACTTCTTTCATCACTTCTCAGGTCCGCCAAACAACCTTGGTGAACCGATCACAATGAGTAAGGCTGAATCCCATATCTTCGGGGTGGTGCTGATGAATGATTGGAGCGGTAGATTTCCATTGCATGCACGCTAATGGTTCTGGTAATAACTTTTGTGTTATATTTCCTGGCAGCCCGCGACATTCAAAAATGGGAGTATGTTCCACTTGGGCCCTTTGGAGCCAAAAACTTTGCCACTACGATTTCGCCCTAAGTGGTGCCCTTGGCGGCCTTGAAGCCGTACCGAGCTTTGGACCCGCTCAGAAAGACCCAAAACCGCTGCCATATCTTTCGGACCCAAACTATGCTCACGGTACTTATGACATCAAGTTGAACGTATGATGCAATGTATATGCACTTGTATATAGTACAAACTGACTGACGGCTGCGAGGGTGTTTGGATTTTCAGGTCTCGATTAAGCCAGAAGGTTCCAATCAAGCCTATACTGTCACAAAAGAGTAATTTCCGTAACATGTACTGGAATATGAAGCAGCAGCTTGTGCATCACACAGTGACGGGGTGCAACATGTAGCCTGGAGATCTATTGGGCAGTGGCACTATCAGTGGCAGCACGGAAACCAGCTTGGGCTCGATGCTTGAGCTGAGTTGGCAGAGATCTCAAAATGTTCAGCTTGAAGACAGTGGAATTACGCGCAAGTTTTTGCAGGACGGCGACACTGTGGTGATCACTGGGTACTGTAAAGGCAATGATCATAGGATAGGCTTCGGTTCATGCGAGGGTAAGATCCTTCCTGCTTATCCGTAAGACAGTAAGTCACTCTAATAATGGAGTACAAGCAGATCCGTATTATTCTAAATCGTAGCCTCGGCTGTTTTGAATAGATCTTTAAGCGGTACTTTCATCATGTACTCGGTTCTTACTGTAGCTAAAGGACAAACCAGCTCATCGTCTTGTTTAAATGTGCCAAGTCTGTCGCAATCGCCTCGATCGGGCACTGCGACTCCGTGTTGAGCACCATTATTTGCCATACTCATATCGTCAATACTATCATGCTTGTCATCCAAATGAGAAAATGCGACACCTCGAACGCGCAGCTTGGATTCCAGTGCACCTTTCCACTCAATCACGACAGCTTCAGCATTAAGCATGGCAGTCCCGCTGTGGTCGTTGTGCGTGGTGCTTCGACTATATGCCGCTCTTTTCGGGTTCAAGATGTTATTAGACGCAATTCCCCACTGCCGATTCAGATAGCTGAGCTTATGATGCTCATTAGGAGTGTAAATACTATCGACAATTTCATCAGTGTCTTGCTGAAAAAAACGACTTCCTCTCGATATCGACGTGAACGAATGCAATACAGTCATTAATAGTGATAGCGACGCGTGATTGCCACCTAAATAGCGGAAATAATCGTCAACAGCAGAAAATTCGGCAACAAAGTCATTTTTAAATACTCGCTGTGATGTATGAAGGTACGCCGACACTTCACCGCGCAAGCACTTTGGTTTACGCCCGAAAAAGGACTCAAAGTACGAGACGCTGAAATCAGTTAAGTTGCTGATCTTTGTCATGTCTGAGGTTTTGAGGTCGCGCGATCGCAACTGTGGGTTAAGCACATGCGCCAGAACATAGAGAGGCTGCTCCATTTGCTCCCACACTACTTCTAGCGCAAGCTGCACGGTGGAGAATCCTTCAGCAGCAGTGAACAACGCATTTAATTGATTCAAAGTTTCTGTGAGTGGCATACCAGCTCGACATCGAGAAAATATGTTCAAGAAGACGTGAAGAAGATTATACAAACGCTCTAAAGGCGATCGCTTTAATGCATGCTCGATTACCTTTTTCACACTCGTAGCCCCATCTTTCATAATCGTCCCAAACGTTTTTTCGTCCAGTAACACCTGGATCAGTGATGCACATGACTCCCAATTACGAAACGGATCTGTTCGAGCTTCGTCGTCCAATTCTGACAGTCGCTTCATCACACGCGATCGAATGGCTTCTAGTTGCCACAACTCAATAAGTGACGATACGGCTGCAAGCATTTCTGTAGTCGCCAGGAGTTTGAGTAGCGGATACCTTAGCATGCCGTCTATGTCGAAAAGGAAAACAGTGTGAGACCTGAGCGAAGTTGTGTGCAATACTCTGACCGCTCGCTGAGTGATTGCATTGTACGGCAGCGATAAAGCCGCAATCACCAGCTTCGATGAATCAATGCAAAGTCGAATATGTTTGTCTAGCCAACGAGCAACCTTAAGTTCATGGGAGTGAGCTAGATCAGATTTGATGTCAGATTCCGGTTGTTGTGCTTGAATAAACGAAAGCGGTACGAATGCCCTGCCGTTTGTGATGACACCATCGAATGCCAGAGATTGCATATTAATAGTTTGGTGGCAGGAATTCAGGATGCAGTGCATCATAAGTGGCCACGATCCCGACGGCTCGACTGTAAGCATATCGACGGCATCGGCAGAAAAGGCAGATTCTGTCACTTCATGCGGAATGACCTCTTGAAGCTTTAACATTTCACTCTGAAGCATTGAATTGTATACTCCATTTAGAACGCGTGAGCGCAAGTCGATCGCGCTTGGTATAAGCTTCATCATAGCGTGAGACTTTGGCATCAATGCGCGAAACAACTGTTTTGCGCTACCACTTTCCACCCACTCAAAAGGCAAATGATGTTCGCTGACAAATTGCAGTAGAGCGCATTGAATAGATAAGCTGTCCAGCGATGAGCTTATTACGTATTTATCCACAGGCTTAGCCTCAGACGACTCCAATGATATGGCAGTAGTGGATGCAGTCAAGTCACCAAGTTTTAGGTTGTGTCTAGCTGCATGGATCTTTGCCATGACCAAAGTGTCGTTTTTAGGTACATGGCGGCACTTAGACAAATGAGTGTGCATGTTACTCTTACGACCCATGACAATGGCTGGCTCCAGTGATGTCTTTAGGTTCGCTGGAGCACTTTCGTAAGCGTGTTGGCAGAAATTGCAACGCGCGTAATAATATGCACTGTTCCTCTTGCGCTCAAGGCGAGTAAAGAAGTGCCATTCATCTAGTGCCAGTCGCGACGACCACATCATTGCAGTCGTAGAAACTTGACCAGCTCCCGAAACCAGCGAATCTCTCGCAGATGAAAAAGAAGACTCGATTGTTGTTCCTAGACAAGATGCATAACCAGCAGCCAGCGTACTTAGCACAGCGCTGCCGCTGCCACGTATGTAGAGTTGATGTTCTAGTGGAGGCAAATCTCCTTTATAATTGGGGCATACCGATAGATGTTTGCGCATCTTTTCACGTCGGCCAACAATTTTTTCTGGTACAAGAAGTGTCTTCTCTTCCTCTTTTGCCTCCTCGTAAGCTCGTCGACAATGCACGCACACAGCATAGAAGAAATTAGACTTGCCAATGTAGCCTTCCTCCTGTAAACGCGTAAAATGCTTCCATTCTTCCATCATACAGAGCTTGACTCGGCCGCCACGGGATTCATGAGTCTTTTCATCGGCTTTGCGCTTGCGCTTCTCGCCCACCATCGTGACAGCCATGGTCGTCATCGTAGTGGTATCACCCGCTGCGATTGATTCAGCGGCGATATTCACTCTCTTGTCAGCGACGATTGCCTCCTGATCAATTTTGGATTGCTTGGCGTAAATGGGGCAGATCTTCAGGTGCGCACGCATAGCCGAGCGTCGACCGGTAAGTTTAATGGGGGCATCCAGAAGTTGCTTTCGCTCGTATCCGGCCACACAATGACGACACAAGACGTACCAATAGAACGAATTAGGCACTTTACCTTCATCGGGCAACTTTTGAAAGTGCGTCCATTCGTCCAATGCACAGCCACGGCCCATTTAGACTTAGGAAGGAAAAAAATTACCTTGTGAATCAGATAGACCTAATCATCATAATTATTATTATTTGTTGCAATGCTGTAAATTGCATGATAATGCGCTGGCTTGCTTCAGCGGGGGACGATCAAAGCGGCTAAACATTTGATCGCGACAAGTTTTCTCGAAATTATGTAAGCGTCAATCTACGTGTCTGGATTGACATTAGAAGATCGCTTCACATACGATTGGGATTTAAGATCGTGATTGATCATAACCCGCACACTTTTTCTGTATCAATAAATTGGAATATTGTGTGTTCGACAGTTTGTCCCAGTCATCCTATGTGTAAGCAAACCATTCTCCTTTCACCGTATAGATTTTCATTAGAGATAAATTTATGGAAAAGCCATGTGTTGAGTTGACTGTCCAGCGTTGTAAGCTTTATTGATCGCGACGACTAAAGGCGGTGATTCGGTAGATTTCTACCGCAGCACGTATGGCCTGAAAGGCACTGCTGCTGGCAAAACGCTCAAAATTTCAATGACCGCGAGACTTGATATCCTTTTCATCATCCAATAAATAGTGAACAAATCAATGTCGTTCCAAACAAGGACGCTAAATATTCCGCAAGTAGAATTTTGTCGATTGTCTGGTTTGAAACTACGAGCTAGAGGTATTTAAAATTGTTACGGATCTTTACGTAAGAGCTGCTCGCCTTCTTGTGTCTGTGATAATTTATCGCGAGGCGCCAAAAGTAATATTTTGTTTGACTGTATGATTCAACGCGGTGGCGCGGAACGTCGTCCGGGGTTTTCGCTGTAGTCAATTTTTTCTCACTTTCGGTTCTGACTGTCCTTTCAGTAACAACCCTTTCGAAGATATGGAGCCTATTTTCCATAATGGATGTTGTGTTTATCATCTCTATCCTATTGAGCCTTACCCAATTCGTTATGATTATTCGTTATTGGACTACGTACAGGGCTCGTATTGATTGTTACAGGACTTCGTGTCATCTTCATGTAATGAATGACAAGCAGCATCACGAGAGTTGAGGGCTTGTCGAACAATTACAAAGTATACTGTTTCTTTTCGATGTTTGTCAATGTTAGTAAGGTCTTAAGGTCTGAGCTCTAGCATTTAAAAGCAGGCTATCAACGAACAGTGGCACCACTTAAACTTTTTATATGCAGGGATTGTCATGCTGTGACGCGATAATCACGGCAAGAAATTTAGTCGAGATAAGTGTATCTCATCACACCTCGCTGCTTATTAAATTTTTTTGGTTACACCAACGTTTGCTTCTACTGAGGGACTGAGCTAATATCGGGAACAACTCAAGGCTCTTATATTAATGTGCTGAAAGATATTCACATCCGCTCCAATTTCACCCATGAAGATGAAGTCAATGTCTACCCATTTTTAAAAGCTCTTTCTTGCCGTCCTCTCGGTTTCGGACTTGATACTGATGTAGATGAAGCCATGAACGATGAACCATACTACAATAAGCGATACTGATAAACTCAAAATACATTGATTACCTGGGTAATCCTCCATTTATTTTGACTATTACTATCTATGGTCGTGGTGAAGGATGAAATGCATCCTTTACCACGACCATAGATATTAATAGTCATCAAGATTTGGATTGTTGGCTTTTTGACCTATTGCCAAATAGGACAAATGGATTGCTGTCAATAAGCAACATTTTCTGATATCTTAGTCGTTATCCCTTGTAGCAATCGTTTCCGTTGGCGACAAACTCTGGTATAATTACTATGTTGACAATAGTTGTGAGGAACAATTTGATCAGCATGGTTTATAAGTCTTGTTTGGTTTTTGGAAGTTCAGTTTCAGAGTATTCTTTGCGATCAGAGATAGAAGTAATAAAGACCTAACCATCAGCGAAAACAATTGCAGCGACAGTCCATCAATCTTATAGCAGTTTGTCACTTTTGAGTGTTTTTGTTATTGATTTTTGGCAGGCCGACTACCTATCGAAAAGAATAATATCTTTGAAGGCAACGCTTGGCTCAATCGTATTGCAAGTGAAGACATTAATGCCAGACGCAAACGGTGAGAACTGGGATGAGGACGAACCACCCGTTTTGGGAAATTACCGACTTCAACATGATCCCAGCCAGCGAGGAGAAGAGCTACTTGAAGAAGAAGCAAAATCAAATATTATGGACGAAATGTTAATGGTTGCGCTGGGAGCCAAGGAAGACAAACAAAAGCAGCAAAATTTAGAGCGCAACCGAAAGTGCTTTGGTCAGGGAATGAAAAAAGGATTTCTCAGCAGCGTAAAGTCCACAACAACGAAAAAAAAGTTCATTCCGCAGTCTGGTGCAAAACCTTTGGAACTCAGTCAACAGCCATCGGTGCGTCTACATGTCAACTTCCAGTGATACGTCTTATGATAAATGCCACTTGTTGCTAAAGTTGTCGAGAGATGAAAGCACGTTTATTGTCAGACAAAAGGATGCGAAACCTGCGGTAGATAATTCGACATTCGTCTTTCCGGAAGTGCAGAAGGCCATGAAAAGCATGGAACAGCTCGACCCGAAAGGTTTTATACTGTATTTACTTCTGCAAAAAAATTAGATGCAGGATGATGCTGTTTGACATTGTAGTGTGGATGAATCAGCGATTCTTTGAAAAACTAGCACGGAACCCGAAGCTTGTTCAAGGCAGGTAAAGCTGCAATTTTTGACTGCCACTTTAGTTGGCTCAAAATGCGTATTACTCGTATTTTAGCAATGCAAAATCGGGCGTTTTTGACGGCAATGAGCGAGATGCAGCAAGATCCTAAGGCTGCTCTACTCAAGTATAAAAATGACCATGCTGTGTCATCTATGCTGCGAGAATTTATGGAATTTCTCGGAGGTCACTTTGAAGAGGTATTAGTAATTTTGGGTTAAGAAGTAAGGATTGCCATGACAGCAATGCGTATTTATCATGTAGATGGGCACTGTATCAAAAATTGCGTCGACTCAAGAAAATCAATGTGAGCCAATGCAGCAAAAGCCACCTGCTATAGGAACAAACAGCATACCAGCTATCATTGATCTCGATGAGACTCGACGCCAGGCTATTGCCGAGATGCAGCGCACCCCTGACGAAGAGAAACAAGTAGAAAATATCGTGAATAATCCTGAGCTGTTGGCTGCTCTTTCGGATAGTACTTTCATGCAACGCCTTCATGAGTGCCAAAAGTCACCCCGAGACTTGAAGCGTCTTGCGCACGACCCTGTGCTAGGGCCCAAATTGCAATTGCTAATCCAGCACAAACTGGTGCAGTTTGTGTGAATTCAAACTTAGCGCAACCATTATAAAACACTGTTATTAAATAAGTTTTGATGTAATAGCACACTTTCTATCAAAAAAATCACAATATCTCCATGACCTGCGGTTCAGGGTTGCGCTCTGAGCAGCAAGTGGCGGAGCGCATGGCGCGCGAGCTCATGGACATAAAAATTGAGGTGGCGCATCTAAGGGAGCGACTTCGGCTTCGCGTGGGCGGCGACACGACGGCTGCAGAGCTAGAGGCTGAGGCGTTCGCATTGCAGACGGCTTTAGGTGAGGCGCAACAGGCGCTTAAGGTACGCGAGGTGGAGCTTCAGACGCTGAATCACAAGTACCAAAAGGCTATGCATGGAATGATGCGGCTAGACGAAGCTTGGAAACTTAGCAAAAAAGAGGCGAAAGAGGCGCAAGACGCGCAGCGGATTGGGGAGCAGCTAACGACAGACGAAAAGCGGCGAGGTGACGAGCTGCAGCGTCAATTGGAGGCATCATACGAGAGGGAGAAGAGATTGGACTGTAGAATTGATGCACTTATACAGCAGAAGCAAGCGATGCAGCAGCAGAGAGACAAGAATGCGCAGGAGGCCAAAGACAATGAGATAAAGACTTTCGAGCTGAGAGCGCAACTCGAAACAATGCGTAATCAATTTGAAATGCAGATGAAGCAACAAGAAGGCGCCACGCGAGAGGATGTCAGAAGGATGCAGAACGAACTGCAAAAGGCGGAGGAACAGGCTGCCGCATTAAGAGGAGAAATAAGTGCCAGACAGGAAGAGGCAACCAATGTGATGACCGAATTGAAAGATACAAAGCAGGCTGTGGAGTTGACTAAAAAGCGACTTGTACAGCTGACGGAGGTTCATGCAGCATTAGGTGTACACTTAGAAACGGCCAAACTGATTGCTGTTGAGAGCACACAGAGGGCAGTTAGAGCTGAGTCAGAAAATGAATGCTTAAAGCAAGAGCTCGAGGAGCGAGAAGGTGAGATTGAGGATAAAGAAAAGAATATACAAGCACTACAAGAGGATACGAATCAAAAGCAGCGAAAGATAGAGGAAGTGATGACCAAGAAGGAACAGGCAGTGAAGGAAATCGAGGAGAGATTGATAAAGGAGTCCCAAAAACTGCTGCAGACACAAGAGGAAACATGGACTTGTCGCGAGAAATTACTACGTCAAGAAGTTGAGAACTGTCAGCAAAAGTTGGCGTGTCTACAGGCATTTCACGTCGAATTGGCGCAATTGCTGCAAATCAAGGAAGAAGACACAGAAGGCGAAATAATTGAAAGTGTCGAACCTGCTATGCTCAAGGCGTTGGTTGTACAGGAGATCAATCAGCGCGATGTTCTTACAACGACGTTGAAGCACACGAAAATGAAGCTCAGGACAATCAAACGACAACTGACTCGACATAAACACCTTGAAGCAGAGAATGTAAAATTGCGGGCTGAGTACGAGAAGGCAAAGCTGGCCATGGAACGAATGGCAACGCGTAAAGCCAAGAATATTTCCTCTCTACTCTACTCACCAGCTCGTATACGACGGAGTGATACATCTGAGCGAAGTAGTGGAAATGAACATAGGCTTGCAATGGAAGTTGAGGCATTAATTGTGAAACGACAGTTGGATGCTGACAAAAACGACAAAATTTCGCTTAGATCCACACCACGAAAGGCCCAACGCACTAAACATGTATATGTAGCTTCACGGTATCTTAACAGTGCGTCGAAACGCTAAAATAATGATGTTTTTCAAAGGACAAAATGAAACAGAACATTATTAGTCGTTCTAACTAATTTGTCCATGGCTGCACGAACTCACACAGCATGGTTTTATATTGTAGAAATCATATTTGCTTGTGGTTCTGCAGAGACCAACCTGGCACGCTCTTTTGATCCTTAACTCGCAACCGAATGCTTTCAAAGCATTGAGAAGACTCAGATGACTGAATCTCGCTGTCAACAATGATTGCAGAAGATGCCTCCTTAGGGCTGAGGTAGCATGGCACGTATTCATTCATTCGGTCGAAAGTGACGAGCACGCCGCCGTTGCTAAGTCGCTGTGGGAAAAGCTTGGGACAAATTTGCGCTCGCCGCTGCTGAACACCTCCCCAGTAAGGCGCCCAGGCTATAGATCCGCCGTCTTCCAAATTTTGTCCGTCGATAGCAACCTATGTAAAAGATTGGAAAAACATATACGGTCAATTACTGAGCAAGTTGATAAACAACAAAAAGACTCCCAGCTTACAAATATAGTTTCGTTAACAAAGGCAAAGTCGGGATCAAGCGAGAAAATTCCAACCGCTGTTTGCTGATGCATTTTCATCTCCGTGACCACATTGTACGTTACGTATGCTACAGTACCCAGCAACACCAACGTCTTGGCCCACACACGATAAAAGCAAGTCAAAGTGACCAGAACGCCTGCAAGTAATGCTGTAAGAAAATGTATCCCAGGCGTGTCCAAAGTTGTCATTAACGTCCAGATATAACTCCTCAACGGAGTGCTGGGATCTAACTCAACTGTAAATACCTCCATCACTTCCTTCACATATTCCCTACCACGTTGCAGCAATTGAACGGGAAGCTCCAGCTCAATTTGTCTCCAATTTAAGGCATTAATTGTGTCCAGAGGGTTTACATTACGTATGAAGCCATATAAAGTCACAGCCGCAGCAACCAGAGTGAGCAAGTTCAGTAATACTTTTGTTAATGTCCCGGCTAAGCTTAAGCTGTGGAGTGGCCACAACTGCTGCTCATTTCTCGGTAAGGTGACGTAGAGTAGCATGGGAGCCACACTCAAGACTGCGAGCGTCCAGCCAATGTTTTGAAGCAAGCCATCACCCGCCACCCATCGCTGAGCGAAATTCCATTCAGAATTCTGCTGAGGCTTTTCAAACCAATCTTCGTCGTTGTCCGTCGACTCGTCCGAGTCCGAGTGCCACGCATCCTCGTCACTGTCATCCTCGTCAGCCTCCGAGTTTTCTTCCTCTAGCTCATCCCATCCACGTTGCGACGCGTCGGCTGCCAGCAAAGCATCAATTTGTTCATCTTTCGCTTGGATATATGCATCATTCCAATTATCGTCGATAAAAACTGGCTGGTTGGACGCCTTAGAGCGCGACCGCGTCAGCATGAGGCCTGTCGAATAAATTCCCGTTCAAAATGTGTCGGTAAATATAATCAATTTCAAAAGGCAAGTTAAATCAGCTAAATTAGTTAAAGTGATCAGCGAAAAAAGGTTCGCAAATCGTCGAGATTAATGCGCTCGCTGCGTCGATCGTCGTGGGCCTTAGCAACTACAAGCACGTGCTTGGCCAGCAATTCCTTCCGCTGCTGCAATTGCAAGATCATGTCTTCCACTGTGTCCTTGATCACGTAGCGCTTTACAATCACATCTCGGGTCTGACCCAGACGATGAACACGGTCAACGGCTTGCTTCTCTACGCCAGGATTCCACCACGGATCCAGCAAAATTACCACCGATGCGCATGTGAGGTTAAGCCCAACCCCACCAGCTTTTAAGCTGATGACCAAAACCTCAATATTGGGATCGTTGGTAAATTTTGTTAACACACGCTCTCTAGCTTCCTGGTTCAAGCCTCCATCAAACTTGCAGTGAGAGAAGCTGTGACGCGTTAAAAGCCTTGACACCATGTCCAGCATCGACGTCCATTGAGAGAATACTACAACTTTACGCTTAAGCTCGGCGTTTTCATTTTCCAATTTGATGGCCTGAAGATCACGCAGCAGTTGCTGGAGTTTAGCAGACTCAAAGTCTGTGCTATCGACGTCAGAAGTTGACGAAAAAGCCCGACTTGAGTTCTTGATGACTTGCATGTCTTCAGTCTGCGTAGGAGAGGAGGGCAGTTTAAACACTTTTGATATTTCAACAACGCTTCTACATACAGGGCAGCCATTGTCGGGGTCATTTAAGAGACTTTCGCGTAGGCAACGATCGCATAGGACGTGCGCACACGGTGTTAATACGGCGTCGTGCGGTGGATCTAAGCAAATAGGGCATTCCTGCAAGTCCAGACCGGCTTCGACTTGTGCAACTACACTTTGTATATAAGACGCTGTCAAGCCAGCTACTGAGCGTTTGGAGTCGTGTAATGCGCCTTCTTCTCCCATTAATTGTGCATGATTGCTAGCCTTCATATGGATTTGTAGTTGAGCTGCGACTCTTTGACAGTAGGCTTCAGAGCTTTCGTTTTCATGAGGCTGGAACGCCCACTTCGTCGATGAAGCCGTATTTTTCTTCTCATTGCCTGGCGTGAGCGATTGCTCGATATGCTTTCCTAATGCAAGCAACGGGTGGTTGCAAGCCTGACGAAGACGCAGCAAGAGCGCAAATATGGCAATATAGCTGGTACTTGCTGAACCGCGCGCAACAAATCCGTTAAATTCGGCCCTACTTTTATCAAAGACGGCCTGATAAAACGCTCGTTCATCCGCAGAAAACTCGAGCTGTACCAAACTGATGTGCTTTGGCGGAAGTTTGACTATTATGTTGCCCTCTTTGTCTCGAGATTGCTTAGTCCGACGTAGTAATACTGGAGTTAGTAGCGCCTTCAGCCGACCAAGCGCATTCATGTTGTCACCATCTTCATACGGCTTTTTGATTACCCGCTTCCACCATGCAACTCGATTCCACGGCTGATATTGAAGAAAGCAAAGCAGTGCAAAGATATCGTCCAGAGTGTTCTGAATTGGCGTACCCGTAAGACACCATCGATGCCTGGCTAGCAAGGTAGAGCACACTTTGAAGTAGCCGGTGGCTCTATTCTTGATACTATGTGCTTCATCTAGAATGATGCGGTTCCACTTTGTAGCTGTAAGAACACCGTTCTTTTCAGCCTCGGCTGACAGTACTCCGTACGTGGTAAGCACGAGATCACTTTTAGTCAGAGAATTTGCATTAGCAGCGCTGGTGTCCCGATAGTCACCATAGTAAACATATACACTAAGCGTGTTTGATTGAAAACGTTCTTGAGCTTCATTCTTCCATTGATGAAGCAAACTTAATGGGCAAATGACCAATGTCCTGCCCCGCGCTTTCCAGTTTCCAACACCATGTGAGCCATCGTTTTCCACCACAACTTTTTCTTCACCAACGTGCTTTTGAAACGCAACGAGAGAAAGCATCGTCATTGTTTTGCCTGCAAATAGTTACAAATCACATCGGTCTCGAGCATACTTTCATCGTGCAGATCAAAATGCTCACCCATTCCCATATCATCTGCCAAAATGCCACCTAAACACGGGGCAGGAGGCTCGAGACGGGATAACGACGCAATCTTCTCGAAATGATTAACGTAGTACGAGCGATTCGAGGCAAAATGGCGTTCTTCCCACATCTAGATAGTAATTTGCATGGTGAATATATCAAATATGGTTATATAGCAAATGATGAGCATACCGGATCAGTACGCTTCTCAAACGCGCCATTTTTCAACTGATTTTCTCGCCACAACATCCATCGAAGCGCTTGTTTTTGATGATCTTGTAGGTCGAAAGCATTGAAGTACTGTACAATATATTCTGATGGATCACCGTTCGAACCATCCGTCGAGTCGCAAAGCTTGTTTGCTTCATCACTCTCAGCGAAGAGAGTATCGAGATCTTCTGGATTTACCTGTGATAACGGATCTTCCATGTTGCGAGCTAAATTTGACGTCGATGCTTCTAGCAAGGGTGATTTAGATCTGTTCATCATTTGCAACAAACTGTAGAGGTGATCCGAAAGGTGAAAGTTCGCATCGGTCTCTATGAACACGTCGAACGCTTTCATACTGATGTATACAAAAACAATCACCTGCACACAATCCACACACTCGCCTTAGATGCAAAGCCCTTTAGTAAACAGTCAAGGCTAGCACTAACGTCAAACGACGCGAACACGTGTGACGAAGCCGGTGGGACTTTGCACACGCCTCTGAGCTTGACCAGGCCAGCTTTCATCAGCGGATGTAGCTGTGTCTCCAGGTTCCTCTCCAGGCGTCCAATTTGCGTGTGCTGCAAGGTGGAAATTCGGACAACACCTGAAGCCGTAGAGCTAGCTATAAGCCCCGGTCTCAGCCTCTTTTTGCCCGCGTTTTCTGCGTGTAGCAGCAACTCGTCTCCAATTTGCAATGTCACGTCTTGGCGGGTCACGAATACCTGCATGGTGGTATTTCCCAGTACTTGAAAATGCCCATCGTCTGTACTACTCACGATCGCGAACTTCTCTAAAGCCCTTTTTAGTCTCTGATTCGCTTCATTGTCTACCTGGATTAAGACATCCGTACGTTTCAGACGCTCAAAGTAATCAGAGGCGGCCCCATGGACACTGTAGCAGTTGCGCTGTAGAAGGGTCATTATCTCGCCATTTGGCAAATCGATGCCTAACTCCCTCAATTGCTGCAGCTTCTTTCCAAGGCGTTCTTGCTCCTTCTCTTCGGAACTGCCAATACTAAACAACAGTGACGACTGTGCCTGCGACTTCACCTTCGCCTTCTTATTATTGCGAGTTGACATAGGTGACTTTGTCGCTGGCCGCGCACTGAGACATATAATACATTGATGCACAAGCGCCCTGTTTTCAAATGTGCAGCGGGAGCAGCTCCACGGCGTCGTCCCCATCGCTGTTTGAGATATTATAATCCTAAACTCTGGGTAAAAACAGAGGTATTCTATACTTTGTTAGTCAAGCGATTGGCTAGAAAAATGTTACGACGCGTCTTGGCCGCGCGTAGGTCATTTGCGTCAAATGGAGAACGTTACAAAAGCAGCAGTAGTCACACACAGATTAAGAAGGTACAGGTCCGTAGCTCGCGCTTGCCTATTGATGGTCCGAATCTCGGTGACTTCGTGCAGACGCATGGACACCAGCACATGGTCGACGCAGTCAGCGAGATGAATATTCCTAGCCCCATACGGTCGCTCGAGGAGATAGAGAAAACGCACACTTGTTCCTTCTTTATTGAAACCTATGGATGTCAGATGAATCAGGCCGATTCAGATATCGTACGAGCCATTCTGCTGAAGCATGGATACACTCCTGCGTGCACACCTGACGATGCCGACGTGGTTTTGCTTAATACGTGCGCCATACGCGACAACGCTGAAGCCAAAATTTGGAATCGCCTTGAATCGCTTCGCCAATTAAAAGCTAAGCTGATGCGTTTGCAGCACAAAAAAGTTCAAACTGTTGGCGTACTAGGCTGCATGGCTGAACGACTTAAGAAAAAATTGCTCGAGTCCGATAAAATGGTGGACCTGGTGGTGGGTCCCGATGCCTACCGCGACATCCCCAATTTGCTTCGTGTGGTTCTTGGTAGTAATGAGTCCGCAGTTAACGTGCAGCTATCGCTGGACGAGACCTACGCAGACATTGCGCCAGTGCGCACTGATCCGAATAATCCGTCGGCTTTTGTGTCGATTATGCGTGGATGTAACAACATGTGCTCCTACTGTATTGTTCCTTTTACGCGTGGACGTGAGCGCAGTCGCGTCATGCACTCAATTATCGACGAAGTGCGCGCGCTAAGTGATGGGGGCGTAAAAGAGGTCATCATGCTTGGACAGAATGTTAACTCGTATCACGACAAGAAGTCAGAAGGTGCTGCTAACAATGGCCGCGCTTACGTTTCTTCCGACGGCTTTAGCAACATTTTCCGCTCTCGTGACACGCCTGGATTTCGCTTTGCCGATTTGCTGGACCAAGTCTCGCGTGTCGACCCAGAGATGCGTCTACGCTTTACATCGCCTCACCCAAAGGACTTTCCAAACGAAGTGCTTGACCTTGTAAATGAGCGTCCAAATATATGCATACAGATCCACATGCCCGCTCAAAGTGGTAGCACCACACTGCTGCAACGCATGCGCCGTGGATATTCGCGAGAGGCGTATCTGGCGCTGGTGGACAACATACGTACTCGTATTCCAGGTGTTGCGATGTCCTCCGACTTTATCGCTGGATTTTGTGGTGAGACTGAAGAGGAGCACATGGACACGATTTCGCTTATGCGTCAAGTGTGCTATGATCAAGCTTTTATGTTTGCGTACTCTGTTCGTGCTCGTACTCATGCAGCACACCACATGAAAGATGATGTTTCTAAAGCCGATAAGCTGCGTCGTCTTCGCGAAATTATTGATACATTTAGTGAAGTAGTCACACGCAAGAACCACGTCGAAGACTCTGATCGCCTGCACATTGTACTCGTTCAAGGCCCTAGTCGACGGTCTACGAACGAAAATCCAAAGCTTACTGGTCTTACAGACTCGAGCAAGCGCTGCATTTTTGCCAACCAAGAAATGCCACCTTCGTTGCGCTCCTTTACGAAGCAGGCAGGTGCCGATGCTAATGAGTTTCGGCCTCTGTCCAACTTCTCTTTAGAGACTGTACACGCTGGTCCAGGAGACTACGTGCTGGTGCGTATCCATGACGCTGGTCGTCACACTTTACACGCAACTCCTGTGGCACGTACTACTCTCCAAGAGGTCGCAGAGATCGTACCTCCAGAATTACTTGGAGCAAGACCACACTCACTTGACGCATTATTGCTATAGCTATCAGACTACGACACAATTCAACCAAAACAACTACAGAGCAGAAACGTATTTTAATTTCCATCTGTGAATTTAATAAGCCGGCACGGCGCCCTTGGCAGCCTCCGCCGCGCGCTTTTGCATCTCCATTTGCAAACTGGAGATCTGTGACAAACAAACATCAGAAACTGATGATCTCGATCAGAGCAAAACCAAGCAAGACACGAACGTTTGCGCGGATGCTAACAGCCTCTTTCTCCTTGAACTCAATCTTCGTGTTGACCTTTTTCCTGACCAGTGTATACACATGCAGTAAATATCCGTTCTGTGTTTAAGTATGGTGGATACTAACAATTCGTGATTAATGAACTCGAGGCGCTTGTTGACGTTGCTCTTGGCCTCGTCGACTTCTTGTTTAAGCAGAACAGGGCCCACGAGTTTGAACACTTTAGCTTCATCATCCAATAGGTAGAGTTCCTTTTTCACCATATCATTCTCATTTGCTTGTTGCGCATACATCTGCCGCTGCCTTGCAAGCACTTGCACTTCATCCTGCAATGCACGGTAGCGGGTCATCTCCGCCTCCACCTGTTCCTTAAGTTCCACCATAGCAATTTGGTTTGTTCAAATTAGCTCTAACACTCAGTCATTAAAAATTTTCTAACTTCTGTTATTACTACTGTAAAATCTTTATAAAACTATAGCGTAATGCCCTACCGATACATGAGCTAATATCAACACTAACGCAACGGACGGATTCATGTCCAACGTCTCGGCAAAGGTATCGGCTAGTTATACATTGCTCACATTTGGCACTTCTAAAAGGAACCATGGATGATGTTGCTCTGCTTTTACAAATCACCTGCCATGGTTAATGTAACGGGGTTACATGAGAGTGACCCCGTCACTCTCCCAAGGGAGCTGTGGTCTGGCATACACCACAGCTACTAGATGGGTACATGGCTTGAGAGCCATGTAATAGGAAAA